TTAGAGCTTTCATGGCGATTTTTCTCTTCATGTGATCACTAACCCCACCAACTTCAGAAATGGCTATGTTCATCGTTTTGCTTCTTCTAATCATCGCTTCGATCTCTGGATTCTCCCTTGTTCGTTGTGTTACTGATCAATCTGATGGTAAAGTATTGGCTTTTTACATCATCGTGATCGTTTTTCTCTTTAAAGTAGATGACTTTAGATTCATAAGATAAAACCCTTTTGCATTAATGTAGATTTGATGCTTAATTCCCCCGAGAAACCGCCGGAAATTATGGTAGAAGAAGGAAAAAACCCAAATTTATGATTTTTTTTCTCTACCTAAATGTTGTTACTTTACTTACTTTTTTAGCTCAGAAAGGAAAGTTGTGAACTTTATGAAAGATTTGTGTTTTTTCTTTGGTAGATTTTTGATAGGTTTATGACTTGTGAGTTGATTCTGTTCTCACTTGGTTATATTGCAGTTCAAGCCCTTCAAGTTTTGTATACTTCACTAAATAGTCCTTCACAGTTAACCAATTGGAAAAATGGTGGTGGTGATCCATGTGGAGAGTCATGGAAAGGGATTACTTGTGAGGGATCAGCAGTTGTCTCTATGTAAAGAATCAGATTTTCATTTTTTTGTTTCTTTTCAGTAGCATTGATTGATGATGATTCTTGAGTGTTTTTGTAATGTTCTTGTTTTGTTGTTGTGATTTTTAACAGAGATATATCGGATTTAGGAGTCTCTGGCACTCTTGGATACTTGCTTTCAGACTTGATGTCACTCAGAAAATTGTATGGCTTTTTGGAAATTTGTTTCTCTTTTGTTTGATCTTTGTGACTTTATAAAGGTTTAGATTCAACAAGTTTGGTCTCTTTCATTTTGTTACAGGGATGTTAGCGGAAACAACATACATGACACACTTCCGTATCAATTGCCACCGAATCTCACAAGCATGTAATGCTATGTTTGCTTAGCTATGTTCTTGTCATATGTACTCTCAATGTTGAATTTGAAACTAACAGTTGAAAGAAAATGTAATGCAGAAACCTTGCGAGAAACAACTTAAGTGGTAACCTTCCATACTCCATATCCGCCATGGGTTCTCTTTCGTACATGTGAGTTTGCCATTCTAGAACTATGGGATTGTGAGGTTTAGCATCTTTTCTTCTTCTTGTGTGTTAAAAGTTTGAAATGTTATTGTCTAGGAATGTAAGTGGCAATTCACTTTCAATGTCGATAGGAGATATCTTTGCCAATCATACGTCACTTTCAACCTTGTAAGATCTTATACCTATCTCTTTATGATTATAATATCTCTGTATCCAGTTTCCATTGATACGTAGTTGTTATATTCAGGGACCTTTCTCACAACAACTTCACTGGCGATCTTCCGAGTTCTTTAAGTACAGCGTCCAAACTCTCCGTTCTGTGAGTGATTTCGTACTTTCTTTATTGCAACGAGGATTTTAGAAGTGCGAAAAGAAATTCCTAATGATGGTGATATCTTCATTTGTGACAGCTATGTGCAGAACAATCAGTTTACAGGCACCATCGATATTCTCTCGGGTTTGCCTTTGACAACTCTGTAAGTTTCATTTCAGATAGAAAAAGCAATGAATGTGTTAATTCCCAATCTCACTTACAAAATATGTTTTCTTGGCAGAAATGTTGCAAACAATCATTTCAATGGATCCATACCTAAGGAGCTTAGCTCTATTAAGACCTTAATGTAAGTTTTCAATAACAATCTGTTTCTTTATTTTGGTGTTCTATGCAAGTTTATATCTTTATAACATTCCAAAATGAAACAGATTCGATGGTAATTCCTTTGATAACGTCCCTGCCTCTCCTGAGCCAGAAAGACCTGACAAGAAAGAGAAACCTCCTGGTTCTAAGAAACCAAATAAATCTTCTGGTTCTGAAGAGAAATCTTCTGAATCTGACAAGGGTTTGTCTGGTGGAGTAGTCTCCGGTATAGTGTTTGGTTCTCTGTTTGTTGCGGGTATTATAGCACTTGTTCTTTACTTATGCCTTCACAAGAATAAAAAGAAAGTTGGAGGAAGCACAAGAGCTTCACAAAGAAGTCTTCCACTTAGTGCAACAACTGAAATGCAAGAGCAAAGGATAAAAAGTGTAGCATCCGTTGCAGACTCGAAGTCTTCTTCGCCTGCAGAGAAAGTAACGGTTGATCGAGTAATGAAAAACGGGTCTATAAGTAGAATAAGATCTCCAATCACGGCTTCACAATACACTGTTTCATCTCTCCAAGTAGCAACAAACAGCTTTAGTCAAGAAAACATAATCGGTGAAGGCTCTCTAGGCCGTGTTTATAAAGCAGAGTTCCCCAGTGGAAAGGTAAGTAACTCAAAGTTGTAAGCTTTCTACACTAAATCAAAGCCAAATATTCTTTCTTGGGATTAAAATTCGTCTATGTAACATATTTCTAGATAATGGCGATTAAGAAGATTGATAATGCAGCACTTTCATTACAAGAAGAAGATACTTTCTTAGAAGCCATATCAAACATGTCGCGCTTACGGCATCCAAACATTGTTCCATTGGTTGGATACTGCACTGAACATGGTCAACGTCTTCTGGTCTACGAATACGTTGGAAATGGGAATCTAGATGATACGCTTCACTTGAATGATGATAGAAGCATGAACTTGACTTGGAATGCTCGTGTTAAAGTGGCACTTGGAACTGCCAAGGCTCTAGAGTACTTGCACGAAGTTTGCTTGCCTTCCATTGTACATAGAAACTTCAAGTCAGCGAATATATTGCTCGATGAAGAACTTAATCCTCATTTATCAGACAGTGGTTTAGCTGCTTTAACACCAAACACTGAGAGACAGGTAATAACAATGGAAGAAAAAATCAGATTTTGAGCCTAATGTTGAAATGTTGTTGAGTCTTTTCATTGGTTTTATATATGTCAAACAGGTTTCAACTCAAGTGGTGGGTTCATTTGGATACAGCGCTCCCGAGTTTGCATTGTCAGGAGTTTATACCGTTAAAAGTGACGTGTACACTTTTGGAGTAGTCATGCTTGAGCTCTTAACTGGTCGGAAGCCTCTTGACAGGTTTCTTTCACTCTCATATCAACCAAAAAAGGCCTATGATCCGAGTTTTCTTTACTAATCTGCGCTTTGTGTGTGTTTAATAGCTCGAGAACACGAGCAGAGCAATCACTGGTGAGATGGGCTACACCGCAGCTTCACGATATAGATGCTTTGTCTAAAATGGTTGATCCTTCTCTTAATGGAATGTATCCAGCTAAGTCATTGTCTCGTTTCGCCGATATCATTGCTCTCTGTATTCAGGTAAATTACCATCCCAAGTAAAATGAACAAAACCGAATTTACGTCGTAATCTTTTTTTCTTTGTTGATTTAGCCGGAACCAGAGTTCCGGCCTCCAATGTCGGAGGTGGTGCAACAGCTAGTGAGATTGGTTCAACGAGCAAGTGTTGTCAAACGAAGATCTAGTGATGACACTGGATTTTCTTACAGAACACCTGAACACGAGCATATCGATATCTCATACTGAGCCATAATCCATAACTACTTGAAGAATCAGAGTCTTTTCAGTTCATTGGAAGCTTAAAAGCAACTCAAAAGGAAGAGAATGGCTCATTGCTTAAGAGAAACTCTGATCCAGAGAAGTAAAGAAAGCATCTCTTGGTTCAGACAAAAAAAAGCATGAGAGAGTTTTATGTTTGTGTATTTTTGTAAGGTTACAAATTAGAGTACATAAAGAAGAGAGTCTATGTACCATGTTTTGATCATCTTTCTTCTTTTATTTTGTTGAATAAATCAATCTTGAGACTTTCTTTGCATCTAAATAAGATCTTGACTTTAAGTAAAAGCTGTTTTGATTCTTATATCGATTTAGAGGCACGATTAAGAAAAAGAGTGGGAAGAGAGATTTGATGTTAGTTTTTGTTGAGTTTGACACAAAGTTAAAGCTTTGTTCATGAGTTTCTCAGTCTGGTCTCATCAGACACAACAACAAACCTAAACTTAACTTAAACCCCACGGAAATGTCTATACAACTGACTCTACCACCACCATAATCTTTTCTTCATAATCTCTTCCGATCTCTCTCTCATTTTTTTCACATTTTCTCTAAGTTTTGGATACAGACAGATATC